GTTCATGTCTTGCGGCAGCTTAGCTAGTGAGGTAGATAAGGATCTCAATGGGGTTAACTACTAGCCGAAAAACGATCAAAACCTTTTCCTGAATATGAAATTCATGGCTCATACCGAAGGATAAGGCGGGAGGGGAATGTAATCTTATCCTTTGACGGAATCTGATTCTGAACTGCATATATATATATATATACATATATATATATATATATATATATATATATATATCCATCCGCTTGCTTATATGTTTAAATACAGATATAAATACGAAAAACAGTCCTTCAGTTTAATGCCTGCCTCTAAACCCTTCGAGAACCAATTTTGTATAGGCTGAACTGGAATGGGACCACCGCTTCATAAGCAAAATTATTGTTTCTGCTAAATCGAAGAATAGAGCCTCACCGAGATATCTGAATGACATCTGAGAAACTATGGTATGGCCTGTGGTTAAGAATATTTGTGAACTCAAATCACAGACTGACCAATTTTTTTTAGAAAATGATGACTTTATTTGATTCTTTTCCTACAATATAGTATGAACTTAATTAAATTAAAATCTGTCATAGGTCTCATTTCGCATAGTTATTTCATTCTAATGATTACATTCTATCGACTACAATCTGTTACTTCCTAATCCTATCTTTAACTATTTCCGAGTTCAACCTAGCTCAAGGGAAATATCATAGAAAATCTTGTTTGAAGATAATAAAACATCCATCTTATATATTAAAAAATCTAAAAATATTCTCAAAAAACAAAACAAAACATAACAAAAACAAAAACTATTCTCTAAATCCTGCTTGTTGACTGACCAGACTGACCAATGGCTTCGTTTGGCCGAACGTTATACTTCAAATGCATTGTTACGGTGTAACCTAACCGACAGAAAAACACTTCAATCCTACTAACTCGAATGCTTTATTAACAACGAGTGATATTCTTAATGACGAGCGACTCCTAGAGGCAGAACAGAACTTACGCTCGATAAACTTACTTAAGCCCTCTATAGTCTAAATCTTAGTTCACCTTTGACCCAAACTCACAGTTTCCTCCAACGTTTCTTGAAATTACCAATCTTCCACTGCTGCTCTCTGACAGTCTAGCTTACCTTATCTAAACAATTACTTACATTTTAATGCCTCTGTACACACAGTTTCGACTAGAAGCTACAATGACATTCGTATTGCGAAAGTCAACCTAAAGGTTGCTAAGAGATCTTTTATTTTACTGGTGCGATAGAAGTTAACGGTCTTCCTCGCCATATTAAATCAAAGGAATCCTACCACTAAGTCTAGCTAACCAAACAGTCGGTCACTCCCGACAACAACAACTACTACTACTACATAACCGAGTCCTTATATACATTCACAAAGTTTTCTGGAACATTCCTGAAGCTTACAAAAGAACTATTTTAGTAGTATTACGTAATAACTGCGTGACTTGATGAAATGTTCTAGAAAGTTCTATGATACACATGTCAGCACGACTAAGCAGTCTGGAGATTTCTAGCCTATATTTACAATAACTATTACTCATAACAGCATCTACACATTAACGTGCTAAAACGGACGATCATGATGAAAATACATAACGCAAAACTTCACATTTTGATTCAGTCTTTGCTGAGGCAAATCAAATTCTATATAACGTGATGTTTTAAACTTTTTTTATTTTAAGAGGTTAACTGTTTACTCTGGAAAGTTCTTTAAGATGCCCGCAATGTAATGCAACATGATATTTCATATTTCCCTCAATATTATATTTCCATGGATTTATTTTGAAAAGGCAAAGTTCTGTAGAAAGGCACGAACTAATACATACTAACGTTGAATTGTTCTCTTATTTTAAACTCATACGCCTCTAAGGGGGAGGGGGCAGGCTGGCTCACCGGAAGAGATATTCCAAAGCGACCATCAGTTCTAGTGTCACGTTAATTAATCATGCGCACATCTCCATGAGAATGGAGAATTCTTACAATGACAATCTTTCTGACATCTATTCAGGTTTCCTTTCGTCCATTTCAAACTCTTGGCTGAATTTTCTTTTTGTGCAAGTGCGACTTGGCATGTTGGTTTTTACTCCGTCTTTGCCATTATCATCTTCGCCAACGATGTTTCTTTTCAGTGTCCACATCTTCAAGGGCGTGAATATTCTCAGGCACTCTGCGCGGAAGGAACGATTCATGATGCCATATATGATGGGGTTAAGTGCAGTACTGGCCCAACCGAAACAAGTATAACTTACATACACTTGTCTTTTAAGTTTCCACCCTGCGTTTACAAAGTCGATGAGATCTATTACTAAAACAGGGATCCAGCAAGTGAGAAAACCTACAACAATGGCTAAGAGAATATATGTAACGTTTAATTCATCCACTGATAAGCGGCTGTTTTGGGATAAATTTGCGGCTTCATGTCTGACGGAGCGAAGTCTTGAACGGAAGTTTAGGTTATGCTTCCGAACCGTTATAAACACTTTGGTGTAACAAACCACGATGATTATCAAAGGAATGGCTACGTAAAATACCACCAAATAAGCTCCATACCCTCTATGTAAACTTTCAAAATCGTGCGCGCAGAAAACTTTTCCAGTGTGAAAGAAAAATTTATGACCAGCAGCGACATATGGAAGAGGAGCCAACAGAGCCAGGATCCATAGAACAGCGATTGTCAGTTTTGTTGTCTTCTTGTTAAAGAGTTTCTGATACAAGGTACGGGAGCGGACCACTCGGAAATATCTGTTTACAGCAGTGACGGCTAAAGTTTGTAATGACACCGCTGCCAAGAGAAGAATCCAGAATCCTTGCAGCTGACAGACGAAGTCATTGAACGGCCATCTTCCAACAATTAGAGAAGCAACTGAAAATGGGATTCCCAGACAAGAGTTCAAAAAGTCTGAAAGGGCCAGAGTTATGATGTACATATTAGGAACCGTTCGGCGAAGAGTCGGGTTTTTAATGACCACTATCCCGAGTAGTAGGTTCCCAAAGAAGGTGACGAAGTTGATCAGCAACATGAATAACGATTCTGTGACTTGAATGTTCGTTGGTCGGCTTCTTAACTGTTCAGCAAAGACTGCAATTACGGTTAATGTCGCATTCATGATGACAGAGAGTTTTCTTAGAGAACCTACAATTTAAGACAAAACTTGTTTGATTCTCTTTCATGTAAATTTAGTTCGATTGTGAAAGCAACTTTCTCCTGTTTGTTTGGTTTATTCAGTTCCCGGATTTTGCTGTTCAGAGCATTGACGAATTATTAATAAAAAGTTGGAGGATTTTTTTAATTATCTTTACTATTCTTCGGAAAAATTGTTTTTGGAGAGCGGCTTTACTAGTTTCACCATAAAAGTACCTTTGCTTTTTTCGACAGATTCCGTTTTGAACATCGTCTAAAAGCTTTCAGTGTTATATTGGTGACTACGACACAAGACAAGATAGTGTTTTAGTTTAATTGTACAACCACATTCAACCGAGAGATTGAGCTTTAAATGCAATAGTTCTGTTGTGGGAGGGGGGAGGAGTTTGGAGGATTTAAAACGCGTGTGCTGAGTTATTGTTCTGCCAATTAGATCTTTTGTTTTTCCATGCCCTCGTTGCCGTCGCCGTCGTGGTTTGCTTAAAGTCCCTAGTATAAAAGAAAGTCTATAAAAAATGAGGAGGATAATTAGAATTCTACAGAGCCTTTTTGGTGGAGATCGAGTAAATTTTATTCGTGACCCACTGAAAAATTATTGGACTTCGACTTCGATTTCTAATCATTGCACTAAATGGCAATTTGACAGGCGGCCGAAAAAGTTTCGAATGAGCTATCTTTCCATCTGTCATCTTTCATTGCTGCGTGCCTAATAATTTGCTAGTAATTTTGTTGTCTTTTCAATGATAGCGGGCGGAAAGCCGTGGGATTACAACACTTACAAGATCAGCCTGACAGATTAGAATATGCAAAAAAATTCCTGTTTTTATCTCCTGAAATGCGAGACCTTGGATGTACATTTCAGGTGCCCACTGATCGATTTTGCATTTTATGAGAAAAGTTTTACAGTTTTAGTTTAGCAAACTATGCAGTTTAGACCTCACCTTCGACTGGACGTTAGAGCCACTGATAGCACGCAATTTGAAAAAGGGGACGTTCCGTTGAAAACCGTTCCGTGGGTTCGAATTACATCAACTAGACCATATTCAGACTTTCCACGCTGAGCAAGATTATGGAATCGTAGAAACTCATTCGGGAGGGGCATTTGGATTTCCGGTTTTGCGGTTTTGGCTATTTTTTAGATCAGTTTTTCGGTTTTTGTGCCAAAAAACTTCGGTTTCTCGGTTTTGGTGTTCATTGCGGTTTACGGATTTTCCGTTTTTAAGCATTTGGTTTTCGGTTTATACGTAAGGTACGGCTAAGCACGGAATATTGCCAGGGTTCTTTATCAACGCCACTTCGAAGTTGGCGACGATGAAACTTTCCAGAGCTATCGCTTTTTGCCACTGCAAAATTGCAATCATATACAGGACTTATGTGCGAAGTCCCTTAATTTAACTAGGCTCCATTACCAGCTGCTGAGTCTGCAGAGACCACGCTCGAGGTCCTCGAGAGAGCAGCTGTTAATAGAGATTTTGTGACTCTTCCACGTTGTTTTTTTGCCAAAAAAATTTCATGGTTTGCACATGATTGTAACTTAAGCACGATCCACCTTTTCCTTCCTGCGGCAGTATGCGTTTTTCTTCTGTTAGCTTTTCACGTTCAAATCTGTGAATTGAAGTTGGTTTTCTGAATTAAATCCTCAACAAAACTACAACAACCCTCGCTGAATAACGGATATTTATAATGATGCGAAAAAAAAAGTCTCGTAAGTCTGAAAGAAACTATATGAAGTTGGATGAAGAAAAAAAAATTGAATCCTCAAAAAGACACCTTCCCTCGAAAATACTGTTCCCAGTCCCTCTAAAACCACTCCATTCTTACGAAATTGAGCGCCAGTTCTCCGCGTTCGCTGGTGTACGTCAATGAGGAACTTTCGAGTTTGTTTATCATGAAACCCTCCATCAGCTGAACAGACTAATAACAAAATGTCTTTTTCAGCGCACGAAAATGGCGATTCTAGGCATTCTATGCCTCGATGTCTATCTGACACCAGACTTGATGAAGCCTTCAGTGCTCATGGGCAAAGTGGACATCGATTTGTGCGCAAAACTTTCACTCGTCCGACATATTGCCATCACTGTACGGACATGCTTTGGGGTTTTACAAACCAAGGACTAATTTGTGAAGGTAAGAAAATTAGAAAAATAGAGATTTTAATTGTAGAATTAGCTTGGTCATTTAAGCCGTTTCTTGTCAATTTCTATTAAGACAGGGAAGCAAATTGTCATATTATCATGCATGTCAAAAGTCGATGACTCCCATTTCTTAGCAACCCACATCATATCTTAAAACGATATTTCCCCTTTTGGATTCTTCAGTCAAATCGATCAACAATATATTTTAAAATCTGGCACTTTTTGTTTCACGGTAAACCATTGACTAAAACCTCGATGGAATGTTATTCCCGACCGTGACTCAGTGTTCGGTTTTACTTGTTCGAGTCTGACACTTAGCTAACAGAACGAAGCTATGTACTGTAATTGTAAAATACTTAACTGGCGTGTGTGCATTGAAAACCTTCTTTAGATTCTGAACAGGAACAAAAAATTTTTTTTTGCAGATTTCTGAATGCTTTTAATCAGATATACATCGCCTGTTTATTCATGTTACAATTTGGCAAATTTTCGTACAACTTTCGAATTCTGAAGCATCTTCCTCTGTGATTTTAAGACTTATGTTTAGAAAGGTGCATTATTACTGCGAAGTGAATAACGTAAAGCATGTTTTTATCTTCGAAATAAAAAATACAATCCTTGTCATAGATTATTGTGTTGATGTAAACTCAGGTGTGAGAAACACAAAAGGTGACTTCATATCACCCACTGGGTGCGTACGTTTACGTCATAAATGATATGTAAAAGCGTCAAATATATTTCCACTTTGTAAGACGTGATTTCCGCAAGGAAAGGTCTCATAATTTTTTGGGTAGGGTCTAAGCATCTTCTGAAAAAAGAAATCCCTTTTCCTGTTTGGCTTTATTGGTATTTTGAATGAATCAAAATAGTCAACCTTTGTCAGCTGAAACATAATGAATATAATGTAAGTTATGAGGCAGTTGTAGATAATAATGCTGAAGTTGCATGTTAATTTCTTTTGTGATTTTTAATTTTTTCAGATATTTGTACACAATCCTATATATCATAAAATGTGATCTGAAATGACAGGCATAATTTTCATTTGTGCCAGAAAATTTTTTTGTTTATCTGTTTGTTTTTGCAATGGTTACTTTTTTTAAAGTGATATGGAGTGGGAAGGTTTTGAAAACAGGCCATTTTATGGATGTTAGACACAGAAACAAGTATTGTGTGATTGTACATGTATATTCTCAGCAATCTCCCTTTTGAGGAAACTCAATGAAGTACAAAAGACCAGACACCCTCTATGTTCTTGGGAAGTGGTTATACCTACATGAATGCTAAGAGATAATACTTAGGATTCAAATGTTACACACGTAAATTTATGATTTATTACATGACATTTCCATTTCAGTTTGTAATTTTGTGAATCATGATCGATGTATGCAACTTGTTACAACTCCATGTATTTCCATTGCAACATCATTGGTGAAGGTGAGCTGTGAGTTTGTTTATTTATTTAACCCTTTAACTCCCAGGATCTGACCATTAAATCTCCCCTCTAGCTGCTACGCATCTCCTTGTAAATAAGTTAGGGGAATTTGGTATCAGATCCAGGTAACAACTTTCACCTGATAAGTATCAATATTCTCACTACCTGTTTGCTGGATAATGTTTAGATATTATAGGGAGAAGTTTCTTGTTAATCACTTTTGGGGGTTAAATGGTTAATTATTTTTATATAATGAACTGAGCTATATGTGTATTTTGATTGGTTCTTTACCCTTTACACCTCAACGTCAGTATTCATATTCTTTATACTGTTCTCTGTATGTTTACTAAGGTGTTGACAAGGAGAATTTGTCTAATAATCAAGATAATAATCAACTCATTTCATTAATTTGTGGTTCAGTGGTGATATTGTAAGGAGAAATTACATGCTGGTCACTCTTAGGGGTTTAAGGGTTAATTATTATCTACTATAGGACTGATGTATAGATGAGCTCAACTTTAAGAACAGTAGGATTCCATGGTTTTGTTTGTCTGTTCAGTTGTCAATCACACACAATGTTTAAGTGTGGCTGCTCCTCATGTTGCCACTTCTTTGTTCTTACCACTTTTTAATTTCATCTGTGATCTATTACTGAACAGACCAGCGGCAATGTGGAATCTAATTGTTCAGTGGGAACATATTACACCCTTGACTCTTACATCTAAAGTTAATTGTCAGAAGTTTAGTTAATGATCATTGAGGCCAACTTGTTGTAGTGAAAAATTGGAAAAAACATGACCTGGGCTAGGTGGTCCATAGAAATTTTCCTCTTGGTATTCGACTTGCTGGATACTTATAGTGTAAAAAAAAAGAAGGTGGAAATTTATCACTTCCTCTGCCCACTAACTGCTATAGATAGTGACACCACTGACAGTGATATTCATAAACCCTAGTGCGAGGCTTGCTGGTTTGATACCTGAAGGTCACATGTTCAAATTTTTCTGCAATGGAAAAAGTCATTTTTAAAAATTTTTTTTCTTTTTTTATCCCTATTTCTTTTTCTTTCTTTCTTTCTTTCTTTTTCTTTCTTTCTTTCTTTTTTCTTCAGTTCTTTTTCTTTCTTTCATTCCTTCTTTCTTTCTATTGTTCATTTTCTTTCTTTTTTCTTCTTCCTTTTTTTTTTCTTGCCTAAGATTGTAAGTTTCTTTGAAAGGCTTCATGTCGAAATTGTCTCAAAGTCATTATCAATTATCCTGAAGCCAAAAACTGGTTGTCAGATGAGAAGTAAAAACAAAATGGGAAAAGAATAGATTTTGCAGTATCACATGACATTCTATGTAGCTGATTGGTCAGTATTTGTTTTCGAGGGTTCAGATGGCATCTCAGGACTTAATGTCAAGACAACCAAAGATAAAGAGGCAAATTTTCATGAGAGAAAACAATGAAGCAGCATTAGCCACATTTTAAAAAAATAGTTGTTTCACTTTGACTTTAGCATATACACATACATGTAATAAAACAAATGCTGCAGCTTCATGCCCCATGTCTGCAATTGGCAACTCTGGCTGAAATTTTAGGTGCCAAAATGTTTTCCACTAGCTATGGCGACCAAAATGGTTGCAGCTTGTAGTGCTTCAAGGGGATGGCTGTCAGCACTATCCTAGACTACTTGTGAACGACTGTCAATTAGTACACATTACAATTAAAATTGTTTAATCATATAGATATACATGTACTCAATCTAAGTAGACCTTCAACAGGCAAGTTGCCAACAGGGATTTTTCTGACTTGTTTGGGTTTTCCTTTCAGGAGCCTGTTGCTCACAGTTGGAGTGGTCCATCTTTCTTTCGGCGAAGGTTTTGTTGTGTTTGTAGAAAGAGACTTGAAGATCATGTAGCTTTTAGATGTCAAGGTGAGTCTGCCATGAATCAAATAAAATATGGTTCATTTGGACATGAATTCCAAAGAGCTTCACTACTTTTTTGTAAGAGAAATGTTTGTGAAAAAGTTAAGTAGCCCTTATGCTATTTAACATAGGATTAAGTAAAACTGAAAATACTGTAATTGTTGCTTAGGACAATTGTAATGCATAATGCAAGTTGCGACCATACATGTAACTTATGCCAGGTTTCCATGTCAATTTTCCATTCATTTCTCCCCCTGAGAGAGGTATTGTGAGAGGAAATTGTCCAAAGAACACAGCAAACACAATATCCAAGCCATGACCTAAACCTAAACCTTTTGAACCAAAGTGATGAGGGGGGGGGGGGGGGAGGTTTGACACAAATACTTTCAGGCAGGGTAGGACAAATTTAACATATTTTCTAGTAAGGAGCTGGTAATAAAGACAACTTTCCAAGTTTGAAATCTCTATATGTTTTTTCCTCTGTTGAGCACGTAAATCAGGAAATTAGCATACGGTATTTTGTAGTGTAACAATTACAAGATGGTATGAATAGTTGTATTATAGAGCACTGTAATCTCTCTCTCTCTCTCTCAATTTGATGGAACTGATACATATGAACACTGTTCATGTGATTGAGTGCAGGGCTGTAGCTAGCATGAGGCAAGACGAGGCAATTGCCTTGTCTTGATTTTGGCCCAAGATTTACTTTTCTGAAAAAAATGCCATGGAAAATGCATAAAAGAGCATTTCTGAGCCTCTAGATTTCAATATTTTCTGAGGGGGCATGCCCCCAGACCCCCCCCCCCCCCCCCTAGCGGCTCGCTTTGGTGCTCAAAACTTGCCTTGTCTTGTTCTGAAGTCTGGCTTCAGCCCTGGAGTGTGCCCACACATTTTGAATTCTAAACTGATATTAATAATAACTCTTTCTTCATTGCAGTTTGTGAATATTTTGTTCATGAGGAGTGTAAAGAGTTTAGTGTTAGTGACTGCAAGAAGTGTGCTTCGTATGTTCCTCACATGAAAAATGTATGTCTTTCTATAATCTATATCTTGCTGCTAAATCAACACTCTGTCAACTATTTATAATAAATCTTCCTTGTTGTAGCTTTGTTTAGATATAATCCAAACTCTCCTGACAGACATTCGTGAGGCAGAATCCCAGTTACTTTTTATTGGTGATGATGTTGGTGGATAGAGGGTCATTTCTATTCTAGCTGCAGTCTTGTAAGAGGGTTATGATAACTCCTGCATATGCAGTGAAATTAATTGTATGTTCAACTTAATGTTCAAACAACTGCAGACGGACTAATATTGAGGCAAAATATTGGTTTGCATGGATATATGAGTTTTGTGAAAAGTTGAGTAACTGCAAACAAGAAATCATGTTCATATTTGGAAAGGGGAACTCATTCGTGACCTTCCCTGGGGGGGGGGGGGGAACTTTTTGCCATATACATTTATTCAAAATGAGTTTGTTGACAACCGCAGTCTGTAAGGCAAGCTCACCATTGGAGAGAAGGAAACATACCACCCAGTGCAAAGTGTGCACACTGTAAACGAACTTGTGGAAGTGTGGAGTGTTTGACAAGTGTCAAATGTAGCTGGTGTGGGCAGGCGGTGAGTGCTTGTGATTATGTACATTTGAAAAAAATTGCATGTGTCTGCAAAATTTTTTTTTTAACATGCTTTTCTTGTGAATTTAGGGCCAATTACCTCTGAGCTATTCTGAACTAAACAGACCATGAGTGCATTTCCTGTCATTCGGACAGGGATCTGTTGATGATGAATATGGGTTGCTTCTGCTTCCCTATGCCACTACAATCAAAACATATTAAGAAATACTATTACAGTAATAATAGATTATATTTCACTGATTAATATCATGCCATGTCAATAAATTTTTTTCCATGACAACTTCATGATATACTCATTTGGAAAATGTAAACAATATGTTCATTGTTTTTACTGGTTTTAAAATAAAAAATTGTTTTATTTCATTAATGTCAAAGGTATATGTAACACATGTAGAAATTAGGTCATGGTACAAAAGAGAGAAGTCGTAAATTTTCCTGACATCTGTTCTTACGCTCAATGTGTTTTGTGTTGTTCTGATTACTTACAGGCCCATAGTTCTTGTCAGTTTATGTTACCTAAAGAATGCGGATTTGGTTATCTTCATAAGCTTTTGTTACCACCATATGCTGTTTCAATGCCAAATGTCACCTTGTGGAGTTCTTGTTCAGAAAGCAGATGCAAACCTGCTACATCAAGAGGTAAGGAGGAAGGTGCCAGAAAATTGTTGTATTTATGGGTATCAAAATGATAATCATTATCATGATGTGTTCACATAATGTCTTTCACTGTTCTGTGTTGATGTCATGTTAATCAGTTGAGTGATCTTGATATAGGGGTTAAGTCAGTTGTATAATGTGCTTGACTTGATCTCAGGCCTGGTCACACAAATTAACCCTTTACACTCTAATATCAGTATGCATATTCTCCTTACTGTCCATTGTACATTTGTTAAGGTGCTGTCAAGGAGAATTTGTTTAACGATCAAGAGCTTCTTTAGTTGGTGATCATTTCCTATATTCTTGTGACCTTTAGGTGTGATTCAAAGGAGATATTGTAAGGAGAATTTAGATGTTGGTCACTCTTAGGAGTGAAAGTGTTAATCTAGTGGCACATCTCCCAACCCTGGAACATACATAGATAGGTAACAAAATTGTAAGGGGAAAATGGTATACTGCTCAATGGTATGTGATGCCTTCAATGACTCTGCATTCAGAAACAGAGGAAGCAGCCAGTTACATGTTCTCCTAGTCACTGGGATGAGCTTGATCAGTGATGAGTCACAAGCTAGGCTTGCAACACTATACCCCTCCCCCCTCCTCCTCTAATCTGTTGGATTGACTGCTTGTAATTATCCATAGGTATGCTGAAAGGTGGTGTTGACAATGATGATGGTATAGTCTCAGATGACCCACTCCATAACACAGACATGAGCAGTTTATCTTTTGATGCAGGTATGAGTTTGTTTAATATTTCATGCACAATATTTTCTCCACTTGCTGAATCTCACTGTGGTTATATTTGTTGATTTTTGGTATAATTACATGTCAGGGCGTGAAATTGCGCCTAATACAGGCGCCAATGCGACTAAATTTTTCCCTTTGGTGACCAAATCCTGAAAATTAGTCGCCAAATTGGCGACTAGAATGTTTCATCATAACCTTACTAAGAGATATCGTGAATTAAAAAGATTTGCAAAGATAAATCCGCAGCAGACTTCCTCGTTATGTTTGTTTCCAAAACGCAGCACATGCATCTCGATCAATAACTAGACGCCATCTTGAATTTAGGTGAGCTTGAGAGTTGTATATCATCCCTCCTTGTGTCCACTTTGTAGCACGTTAAAGATCTTTCCCCTAACTTAATTTTGGAGGGTCTCTCTAGAACGCTGACAGCGTAAAAAAAGGTTTTGTTTGTCTTTGAAAATGGCGACCAACTTTTTTTGAATTGGCTACCACTTTGAAGAATTTAGGAGCCAAGTGGCTATCAGAAAAAAAAATTAATTTCACGCCCTGCATGTACCCTCACAATGTCTGTATTCATGGAGCCTGATAATGATGTTTTTACATCAATTTTATAATTGTACTAAGAGATGTTTTTCATTGTAATAGATGAAACTTATTTAAAGATATATGATGGTGACATAACGGATCCAAAACTTTGTAAAAACATAGTGATTCCCAGGACAGCTCAAGTCAGCAATGTTCTTGTGAGTGTGCAACTGGTTTTGATTTTAACAACTTTGACATTAATAGTAAATTTTTGAAACTAGTTGAAACAAGACTTGAATTCTGGGAAACAGAATTTATATGATGCATCAAATAAATTGAGCTTGGTGAATGGTTTGGCAGTGGATTTTCTGTTCAGGACAACAGTATGCTTGGGTCTGGTACAAGTAGATGCAAACATTGGGTTTTATTGTTTCAAATTTCAACAATGATGTTCTTTCACTGATTTCTAGGAAGAAGCTCTGAAAAAATTCCACATCACAGATGATCCCAGCAATTATTACCTTGCAAGAGCTGTGGATGAAGGTGAGATGCCAGGGATGGCTTTTTCACCCTATCACCTGCAAGTTCTAAGTCTCGATTCTCCTTACTGTCTGCCATACATTTCTTTTAACTTGTGCTTTGAGAAGTTGGTTTTAAATTCGCCCTAGTTTTATCTGTTTTCTCTTTCTCATCACCTTTGTGCTGGAAATCACATCACTTATTGTAAGGAGAAATTCTTTTTTTATCAGTTTAACAAGAGAAGTAATTATTCTCTATGGCCAGCCAGCTGAATGGATATTGTTATATCACCATTGTGTGAAGTTTTTCTAAGATACAATTCCCTGTTGGTGCATTAATTGTATTATTTTTATCTCTTCCTGTTAAAGAAAATGAACGTGTCCTTGATCCTGAAGAGAAGCCTCACCAGTTTACTGGTAGAAATTCATCCAAACCTTTAATCTTTCTTCGCATGAAGGTAGGATTGATGTGCATTGCACTGGCTCAATTAGGTCTTGTCTTCTAAATAATTAAGAAAGTTATTTAATTTTTTGTTTTAAGTTTGAAAGGGTGATGTTGTTTCCATTTTAGTTTTCAATTGAGTACTGAGTGACATATGCATACAGTGTTGTGTAATAGTCACAGATCTTGCATCTTCTCCTCAACTAGTCAGATGCTAACCATATCAGACAATATTACTTTTAATCAGTAATATTTTTGGAAATGCACATGTTAAGCTCTTTTAAACATATGGTGTATGAATTTAGTTCTGTGTGTTCTACTTCATATTAGTTCTGGATACTCATAAATATTATCTTATTTTTTTCCTCACACATTTTGTTGTTCTTTTCTTTTCTGTTTTTCTTCTTTCAATAACAGGTATTTTACATGGCAAGATTAGCATTTTAGTTATTCTGAGTAACTTATCCCTGTCCCTTTATTACATGTATATTTTAAAATATTTTCTTCCAAAAATATGGTGATAGAAATTAATTGTTGTTGCTGACAGATGTTTAACCTTATTATGTTATCATTTTGTAATCAATCCCTCACCTTAGAGTGCAGATCGACGGAAAGGATATATAAGAGTTTACCCTGGAATGATAAAGTGAGTAATTGTATTTACAATTATTCAATTTAATTGGCAGGTGCAATTTTGGTGTTAATAGCATAGGGTTCAATTTGAATTAGGCCATACTCTTAGTCCATGCCTCTTAGAGATTGGAAGATTGGACGGTGTGATTTTACAGGACTCTTAGGAAATTTCAAAGCACTTTCTTAGCTATTAAGTCCTGGAGATTTAAGTTTTAATACCAATAAAAGTGAGCCTGTCATTCCAAATTGCTGCTAGTTCGTGGAATTCACTCATTCCTGTCTGCATTATCTCTCAGTGCTTAAAAATTTACATTGTAAGTTTAGGGACATCCCTCTCACTGAAAATTCTGTGTCTACACCCCCTATTTTGTCAACTTATTTACAATCCACATGTGTTATTTTTGGACAAAATAGTATTTTCCCCCTAACCTTAACTACTACATGTGGTAAAATAACCATTTGGTAACATACCTGATACAGTGCGGCAGGAACATTCAAGATAATCCCTGTGACTGCACAGACAACTGTTACAGAAGTGATCAGTGCTGCTTTAGAAAAATTTGGATTAAAGGTTTGTCTCAAGTTTCAATGCATTTTCTCATCAATTTATGGGTATTTTCCTTCCTTACTCCCTTTCTTCCTTGCTTCCTCCCTCCCCCAATTCCCCTTCATCTTCTCTTGATTGTTTCCCAATCCCTCGGTCCTTTCTGTCTCCTTTTTTACCTTTTCCTTCCTTCCCCCTCTTCTCTAGCTCTCTTTTATCTCCACTTACCTCCCTTCCTTTAACAGTCCATCCCTACCCTCCTCACCCTCTCTGAGCACCCTCCTCTCTTCTCATCACTCTCCTTACCAGCTCTCCTTCTCTCCCTCTCTTATCCACCCCCTCCCTGTTTTCACTGCTTAGGGTTAGCACCTCACTTGAACTTACAGTAAAAAACTTAAAACCTCTCTGTGGCCTACTTTCCCAACCCTACCTACCCTAGCTTGGCATGCTGCTTACCTTTACTTCAAGACTCCTACCCTTTAAGCCATGTGAGAGTGTGCTAGTTCACTATCCTCTTAAGTTTTTTTTCTTTTTCCTCAGCCCAGTTTTTGTGTCAAAAGGCCTCTCTGAACAATTATTTATTTCTCCCCATGTTTATTTTTTGCTCCTTCCTCAATATTATTTTTGTCCCATCTCTTGGAAATGTTCCAATCTTTCTGGACTGCTACTCAATGCAACTTTAATTAAAATTACATGGTGCAATTTCAATGGAATTTCTGTTACATTTTTGTTAACCATGAAATTAAATTAATTGTTATGTACAGGATGCCAACGAGAATGATTTCTCTTTGACGGAAGTAAACTTAACTCAAGGAGGTAACATATCTCATTTAATGGTGATTTTGCTAAAATTATTCTTCATACAATAATGTGATAATGGACATTTGCTGTATTTATTATCTCAATACTGCATAGAACTCCATGCAGTGCATTTATTTTCAAACTTGGCACTGTTGATTATTAACCTGCTGGTTGACATCTTTTTTATTCCTATGGAATTAACAGTCCATGAACGAAGAATGGAACACGGTGACTGTCCATGGAAGTCCTTGATGGATATTAGAAAAGTAAGGTTTATCTATTAGTCAGTAGGACTTTGGAATGCATGGTATTTTCAGCTTTTGTATCAAGTAAATAAGCCCTTAAACTTTGCTGATGCAACAGGTGTGTTAAGGCTATTAATAAGTAGGACTATAATACTTTACTTCTTAAGATCTCTATGTAAATGATATTTTACTCCAACAATTTGTTTTAATCCTTTCCTCAAGTGAACAATCCTAAAGAAATCACCTTCCCTCCAATTTCACTCATGATAGTTGTCTCCTCTCCTCTGTTTTGGACTCCCCCAACCTTCTTCTGTTTTTGTTTTTGTTTTTTTATTGTTTGTTTTAACCCCTTAACCCCTCTGAGTGACTAACATCTAATTTTTCCTTACAGTATCAACCCTGAATCAAACATTAAGGTTATGAGGATATAGAAATGATCAACAAATTCTGGAGCTCTTGATTGTTAAGCAAAATCTCCTCGTCAGGAAATGTATAGAAAATAGTTTGGAGAATATGCATACTGATCTTAGGGTGTAAAGGGTTAATTATCTGGATGAGATGCTCCTCTGTCTTTTTACCTCCAACTTTTCTTCTTGTAAAGTTACAGCCATTGAAGATATGGTGGTGAGGTGGCCACAACTTTGCTCTCCATAGTTTCATGTCTCCACTCCCATTTTGTCTTCAACTTTCTTTGATAACTGCAAAGTGATTTTTAACAATAAATTATAGATCTTGTATTCATCTGAAGATGTTGGATTCCCGATAAAAGTTAATGTACTTCTTTTCTTTGCAGAAGTCTGTAAGGAAAATGAAACTCACAAGATTCTACTTGAGGCGAAACTTAGAACCCTTGGGCAGTGTATGTATATGCGTTGGTAGTCTCCCAGTTGGCCTCGACACGAGTAAATACAAAACTTTGATTGGCGACGTTCTAGGAGAAAGTGAGTTCTGTTTTCTTTGTTTGTCAGATGCTTCTAAACAAGTATCTTTGTTTTACGAGAGACTAATGTATGTTTCCTGAGTCCTCGTTCCCCTGACGAGCTGCCACGTCCATTCGGCTATGTAAGAGTGACAGAGGCCCTGGTAACAAGATTGACGACACCTCGGCAACCTACTAGTTTGCGCATTAAAATATGCAGAGGGAGGCTTGTGGTTGTTCTCATCTTTTTTATTGGATTTCATTTCACGGTTTGTGTGTAATTGTTTTGCAGCCATGGAATTTTGTGAGGTGAAAAGTGTGTTTTCTAGTTATGGTGAGTTACTAGTAATCCTAAAGCTCAGTTCATGTATTTAATTATTAAAGCACATTATTATATCGCTGGTAGTGCCCGTGGGAAATATGAAGCGAATTCTGTGTTCTGATTGGCCCTTATCCTGCGAAATGTTTTGCTTGTTTGTTAGTTTGCAAGAAAGCGGGATAAGCTCTGGTTAACGAAGCATTTGGCCCGAGTGTATCCCACACACTTTGCATCCGTTATTTTTTAAGCTCGAAGTCAACATGGCTTGAGAAAGGACAAGTCCCTTTTTCTGTATCATTTAGTCGCCGTGAGTTTCCTCGTTTTGACTGACTGCAATGTGTGCTTTGCAATTCCATTGCAGCTGCCTGGTGACGTATGAGGCTGCCTAAGAATTACGCAGCATCTCAACCGGCTACAATTCATTTTACAAGAAGTTTTACTCTTTTGAGTAAGAGAGGCAAACCTGCGCGGGCATAGCCCCTTTTGCCAATCAGAAAATAAGATTTACGCAATAATGCTCGATCGCACAGCTGGTCACAGGACAGAAATGGCTGAAAGCTTTGTTTTTGTTTTGTTTTGTCGGTTTTTTTTTTACTGTTAATTACGTTACCTATTGTTGACATTGTAACTCTTTGCAGGTATGGTGTTTGTGTTTTTTCCTGCTGCTGACACAGCAGCGGATGCTGTGAATAAATTTAAAAGCTCCACCGTGGACAACAAAGAGCTGTTCGTGAGAGTCTTACCCAGCATTCATGTAAGTAGCCGCAAATGCAATAGCAAAGTCTTTCTCCACAGCATTTTTTAGAAGTACTTTAAAAAAACAAATGAACAGATAAAGATCGACCTGAATCAATATTTCTTTTTTTCGCATATCGTCATTCTCTTCTTACAGTAAAGGAGTTATGCTTATTCTATCTTCTGTTTCTTCCAATAGCCTGGACTGTTTCCCCCTGGAAGCCAACCTCTTCTAGTACTGGTAAACTCCAAAAGTGGTGGTGGTCAGGGGGCCGACATGTTAGCAGCTTTCCAGCGGCTGCTCAACCCTTATCAAGTGTACAGCCTCTTAGAGGGAGGCCCATTATTAGGGTATGTTAAACTCGCTCCCCCTCCATATCTAGAAAACTGTATGTCGAGACGAGTTCCCACCCGAATCGTTGAGGTTACAAGAAAGTTGCTTGCTTAGTAGGAACTATTTCCTTAGACTTTTGTGTCCACGAGAATTAACTGAGGCCGAGCTAATAGAGCCATAGTACAGGTATGGATAGGTGCAGAATCTTTCTAGCGCAGATCGCACTCTTTAAAAGACCATACGCATATTTACATGAGATAACCCAATATCACCCCCCAATATCACTCCCCCCTCAGCCTCGCTTTCAAAGTGCAGACTTGTGAATTGTAATAGGAAAGTATTTTGCACATAGAACAAACAAGGAAACGGCAAAGATTGATGAAACATTTTAGTCCAAAAAAGGCCTGGGGGTTAGTTTTCCGCATATGACGTCGTCCTGCAGAGGATCGATTTCTATTTTGTCGTATAGGCTGCTTCCTAAAGTAATCATTGAGAGCTATTCTATACTCAAAACTACGAGCCTTGTCTTCTTCTGTCAGCTTTGTCCCATCGTCTTTAAATCGCTGAATATCTAAAATATGAATCGATTTTTATCTTTGTTTCAGATTTTATGCTTTCAGATCTATTCCTGATTTTCGTGTCTTGATCTGTGGTGGTGATGGCACAGTTGGCTGGGTGCTGTCATGTTTGGATGATGTTGTTCAAGAGATGAAGTGTAAGCTACCTGCATCAGCAGTTCTTCCTCTTGGCACTGGTAAGTGGATTGTTACAAATTATTCCTGTTCCCCACGATTTAGAGCAAATTTATTTCCAGAGTCAAAAGTACCTTGGGTGGGTACGTTTTGTTTTTCTGCGATATGTCATAGATTTCAAGACTAAACTTGGTCAATGGGATGAAAATCTGAAACTAATCATGACTTAGTCATTCGTGTTTTCTAAGCGATAGAGACCCTTTTTAGGCCTGAAAAGTTCGTAGTATTTGAAAGTAAATCAAGTAGTATTGATTACTGAAAGTCTGGAACTCTATACGGTAATTATATGCATTTTCAAGTTACGATTAATAGCAGAGGTTTAAATTAGTAGAAAAACCGTTGTAGCGTATTTTGAAAAGCTGCCGTTCGGGTGGTATAGCAAAGTGAAAAGAGAATGGGTGGGAAATTGAACGAGACTCTCGTATGAATGAATCTCTCTCGTGATTTCTATAGTAGCAAGGTAATGAGTGGGAAATTGAATGAGATTCCCAGCTTATATGTATTCATCTCTCTCGTGATTTCTATAGTAGCTAGAAAATGAGTGGGAGATTGAACGAGATTCTCAACTTACAGGTAATGATCTCTCTCGTGTTCTCCATTGGGGAGGTGGTTACTCTGGTGGCGAGAGTCCTGTATCGCTTCTCATGGCCGTTGATCAGGCACACGAAGTGTTTCTTGATAGATGGTGTGTCATGTTTGATTCAGCGGACACTAACGACAGTGCGCTTGGCTCGATGGGAGGAAGAGAAGACGATCCTAGTATTTTTACCATGAATAATTACTTTGGCATCGGAATTGGAGCTGAGCTTTGTTTAGATTTTCATCTTCAGAGGGAGGAAGCACCTGATAAATTCCATAGCAGGTGAGGATACAAAGGATTCAATTTACAGGTTACAAAATTAGTCGTAGTGCATTCGATTGAAGAAAAAGAGTGTTGATTGCGAAAGCCATTGGATGGTAACAAAGGTTCCATAGTCTTCTGAGATGTACTGTTGTTTCATCTTTACTGCGTTTAATGTACTCAAACTCCGGATAAATTTTAACCTCCGTTGAAAGCTCTTTTGAAAAGGGATAGGTTGAAAAAACCCCGACTTTGTGTTTTGCAATTTATTGTTAGTGCGACTCTGTTGAATCTCTAATTCCCCCTTTTTTTTTTTGGTTTCTTTTTGTTTCAGGCTTCATAACAAAGGAGTTTACTTTAGAGCAGGTATAAAGAAAATGGTCAAAGGCTACTCGCGGACATTTACTCAAGAGGTCGAAATAGAGGTGATTAATCTGTAGAACGATGGTATTGAATGGCTGATCACAATAAAAGGGGTGTACCGCTGACTATAAGACCTCTTATTGCCTTTTGTTTACCCTGCAAGCGGGCTCATGTTTGGGTTTCACCATACTGCCCCTTTTCGGCCACAGCCGCCTATTTTACCATCGACAGCTGCTTATGGAAAAAGGTTATTGAAACCCCTGTATCAGAATTAACTTTCTTAGCATCGAGTGTTGGTCCAAATCATCATCGTCTGTCAGTTGTATTCAACTCTTAATGATTGCATGCGTATCAGTTGCACAATTTTTTATTTCATGCTCCAATCACACCTGAGCGTTTTGTTTTGGCGTTTTGCGGTGCTTGTTTGCCTTTCGTCCTCTTTAACTTTCTAGGGACCAGTATCTTATTTACTTCCTTTTCGCTGCAGATTGATGGCAAAAAACTTGACTTACCAACACTAGAAGGAATTGTAATTCTGAACATAGGCAGGTAAGTAAAAGCTTGAAATTGAGGTCAATCAAATTAATTCGAATTAACTTTGCAGTGGTTAGATTTTCAATTTAATTGCAAAGAAAATCGCTGCACATCGGCTTCAACAAGTAATTTTAAGCTGCACAGTTTTTATGCCCGGTGAAAGTATGATTCGTGTAGGTCAACATTATTTGTTTCATATAATTATGATCTGATTCCTTTACGGGAACGAACAACCTTTTAAAATTTGTCTCACTCACATCACGTGGCTTCGCAGCAGTCCCCAACTATTATCTGGGAGGCCCGGGTTCGATTCTAGTCGAAGTCTGAATTTTTAAGGCTTCTTTTCTGAGATTACTTTGATAGCAGCTGACCTGCGATTATCACTTCGTTACTTGTAAAGTCTTTTATTCTTTTGTATAAATTTTGCGCTTTAACTTTTTTTTTTAAATTTGTTTTCCGGCCAGTTGGGGAGCAGGCACAGATGCATGGGGACCAGACAAAGAAGATGTATGTAGTACTTCATGAATTTAGTGGTGATATCTGCTCATATTCTTAGCACCAAACAACTGATAAAATAACCATGACATGTTGTCCCTAGAAGATGAGGTCTGGAAAAGACTCAAAGATTCAGCGCATTAGCTATAAAGAAGCCAATAAGTGCGAAGAGTAGAATTGTCCAAACCGCCAATAGCGCGGGAAGTAGCAAATGACCAAACCACTGTTGGTTTTAGTTTTGCACGTGATTGGTTCGGAGAGTGGCTTGAATTATCTGGACCAATCGCAAAGCGAAGTTAAACGAAATAAATGCAATCCCGGATTCCTTTTCCACACACAATTGAAATTGCTTGAATCTTTTTGCAGGGTCATTCCCCAGCTTGTCACTGTGACGGTCTTGTCGAGGTGGTTGGACTTCAGGGAGTAATGCACCTAGTGAGTCAGAATCACCACCATCTTTACCCTTCACACCCTAACATCAGCAGGCATATGCACCATACTGTTCTCTCCAATCTGCTCCGCGTATTTTTTTCTACTAACTGCCACAATTTTTGTATCCTGCCTTTTCCTTTCTTCTTAAGTATTTGCATAGGAAACGTTTTTATTTAGCGATAAAAATGGTGCCTTAGTTCTTAATTGAGACGAATTCTTTATTAAAAGGGTCAAATTCAAAGTGGAATCAGGACTGGTATTCGGCTAGCACAGGGAGCCCAGGTATAGATGTCTGGTTGTAATCCAGTAAATAACATAATGAAGCCATAAGTTGATTATCCTCGTACTATTCTCTTGTAATTTCTGTTTTTCACGTTACTATGTTCCCACCAGTGGCGTAGCGTCATTTTTTTCTGCATATTTACTTTATAAAATCAGTTGATAAAAAAACTATCATGTAATACCACCCCTTCCCTTCCCCCCTCCCCCCCCCCACACACCGACGCAGAACCACAGTTTCTTTAGAAATTTACCCTCTTCATTCATCCGCTTCAATGCTTTTTTTTTAATTGATGACAATTATTATTACTTCATTACAGATCAACATCAAATTAAAATCAGAGATGCCCGTACAAATAGATGGTGAACCTTGGATGCAGCCTCCTGGAAATGTGATTGTACGGCCCATACTAACACAGGTATTTACAGAAAACTGTGTAACGACGCTGTAAAAGATTACCGTTTGGGGAAAATGAAAGGCTTGTGATTGGACTCGCATATCTCAGTGTTAAAAATGCACCTAGAACATTTCGAAAAATCAATTTAGTTTTATCTTTTTACCTGATTATTTTTGCCAACATTTACATCCAAGAATTCAATAAAACGTTTATAACCGGACGACTTTGGTTCAGAATTAAGAATATTTTGCTAGAACCCAAACGGCCATCGAACACTTCTAGAAATTTCATCGTAAGTTCACTTATTTTTTTCTTTAGGCGCTGATGCTATCGAAGAGGAAGGTTAAAATAAAAAACAAAAGAAGACCCACAAGTTCGTCTCGCCCTCCTGCAAGCCCCAGCGCAACAAGAACTATTTTTTATGACGATTAAACACTTACCCCGGGCTTATGGCAGCTTAATTAGAAACCATACTGGATATTTTTTTCCAGCTCTGATTTATACTTAACTTGGTAATCTTGTAAAGTTTCATCTAGTTAAGTATTGCTTTAGCCGAGAAAATGTAATTCGAAATTGTAAAGGAAATTACTGTCATTTGTATCGCTTTGGGTATACGCTGTATTGTAAACAGTGCAGACTAAAATTCCATCTTTATAGTGCGTTAAATTGAACCAATTGTGAAACTCTACCAGCACGAAATGCATGCTGGTTGAGAAATCACACGAACATCACGTGCTCGTCATATAGGCTGAAACAAGGAGAGCGGCTCAGTCCTCACCATTCGAACCTCTTCAGTGTACATTACCATTCGTGCTATTGGAGTCAATTTCTAACACCGGCCATGATTTGTTTATCGAAGTGGTATATAATGATTCTGAACTAGTCTCGGCCACATTCTGTCTTTCCCCGTTCCGCCCGTAAATGCGCAAAGGCGTTGTAGTAGACGCTACGCGCTAACGAACCAAACTCGTAACCTGGTATTCCATAGTCGTATGTAGGAAAAAAAGGGTGGCGCGAGATTTCTAGACGAATCACAGTTTATTAAAGATTTCATGCTTAAGAAAAAAGTGAGAAGAATACGATTAACTAACGCAATTTCAGATAGGAATGAAAACACTTGAGAGTCGACGATACGCGTACCCTGGTGTTCCACAATCGTATATCAAAGGTGCGAACTAAAATGTTGAAATCTCTGTCTCGAGGTGGAGTTGAAAGCTTAGCTTGTCCCGTCAATGGAGTTTTTACAGAAGACACCGGTGAATTTGAAGATAATATAAGTTCGAGTATATTTCAAAAGAATGTTGTATTTGTAATTATATGTAAAAAGTGGTTTAACTGCAGAAGTATTCATTAACAAGCTAATATGCATGAACGCCTTCTATTGATTTACCTTTTCTCCATATGTTTCATTTTATAAAATGATCAGTTCATGTAGATGTGTTCTGAGTGAATTAAATTTGTGAGAAAACTTTTTTTTGTTTGTTTGTTTTTTTTGTCGTTAAAGGCATAGCTGGTGATAGGCTCGCGGTAAGAGGAGAGAAGAGTAAAAGAGAGCGAGCAAAAATCGGCGAGGTTCTGGGAAGGCATGTCACCTTCCTTCATTCTAATTAGATTTTTCTCTCACTTACCCCACGTTTATGCTCGTCCTCACTGTGTCAGGCTTCCAGAGGCAAGGTTAGCTGTGTAGCATGAGGAAGAGTGTAGAATGGAAGGGAAGATTTTCCGGTTTTCTTCTAGTGAGTTGTACAGACGTTAAGTTCGTTTAGTTAAGTTAGTTTCACTCAGGTTTCTGGCTCGATTTACTCAGGTTTAGCTGAAGGTCTCTTTCAAATTTGGTCATAATTAGCTGTGTAGCTCTACATGTTACAGCTTTGAGTCCTTCACTAGAAATATAAATTTTGGAGTGTAAATTCTAGTCCCCTAGTAAATTGAACTGCACTGGCAAATTATTGAATTTCTTAAGTTATCTCTGCGGTCGACAAGAAGGAAATATCACAAGCAGTCACTAAGGACTAAAATTCATGACGAGTCAACACCCTAAAAGGCAGAACAAAGGGTGGTGCGAGATTTCTAAACCAATCACAGTGCAGTAAAGATTTGATATCTGAGGGTTTTTGAAATACTAACCCGTCACTCGCACCCACCCTTGGGGGAAGTCTTTGGATAGAAAATGCAAAACTTAAAAATGTTTCCTAACCTCCCGGAAATATATATCGGTTACCCCTTATTTTACATCGGGGGTAACCAAAAACCTCAAGAGAGTCGCGTCAAGGAGATACATTATGGTGTCAAAAGAAAACGGTTCAGCTTTTTGGAAAAATTCAAACTGAATAATTCATTAAAACAAAAAGTTCAACATTATGAGAGATACAGAAAGCAATTTTGTATCAGTTTACTTGTCACAGGTCATTGTGGCACATAATCCACACTGTGGATGAACCTGAAGCGTGACTTAGATACCTTTATAGAGTAAATTGAGAACGGACTCATGTGTAAGGTCTTAAAAGTGTTTTATTGAAGTCTTCGTTAACGTTTTACAGTAAATCTTGAACCCCTGTTCGTAACTCTGTGTTAATTCCCTCAAAAAGCCACTCACACATTCAAGTTATTCTTACTGTAGAAGCCATGTTGAAGATCACGTTTGAACAAAGATATAAAAAAAATACCACATACTACAATGAACTAGAATTCTCGTTGTGAGTTAAATAAAATCTAGAAATGGGCTACAAAATTAGACTTAAAAACACTACTAAATATCTTAGTTAGTGGTATTTAAGACCCTTTTCCTTTTTTCCTTTTTTTGATTTTCAGGCTAATGTGAATAATAATGACGAATTATGTAAAGAAGCAGGCTTCAGCCATGACAGAGGTCACTAATGACTATAATTCTCGCAAACGAGTTATAAAAGCCCTAAGACATGACCTATTTAAATCATTTTCATTCTACAAAATCTCTAACAAACGAATTCTGACCTAGTCTATTTTCCTCTAACAATTCTAAACTTAGTCTGCATGCAAAGCACTTGCAAGCTTGTTGTGGAAGTGAACTATTCAGATTGTTGTCGTACCACTTAATATCCTATATCTGACTTGTTACTCGTTACCACAACATCTTTCTAATTTCTTTTTTAAGGAATTTGCGTTCATAAAGAACGTAGTAACATAGCGAAAATAGACGTCACTCTACCTTTTAGCTATCATTATGCTCTCATACGAGTTATAAAAATTCTAGAAATGAGCTACTTAGGTCATTCAATATATTGTTAAATCTCTAATGCATGACGTCTTATCCAGTAACTGTTTCTCTTTTTTTGTGTGACATTTTTACCTTTTTTTTTCAACTAGAGATACTAAGGAAATTAAGCAACTCGACACGTACTCTGAATACTCGCTGGACGAGTTGTGGTAATGTTCGAACTATTCAGATTATTGTTGTACCGCCTAATGTCTACTAACTGTGGAAATCTTAACCGCAAGTCTAAGTTCTTTGATATAATATCCAACCCAAAATTACCGTCACTTTAACTCCTTATGACTTTAATGCTCGCGGATGAGTTCTAACATGTTAAGAAATGAACTATTTAGTTTACCAGCGTATCATCAAATATCTATTAAGTGGACGTGTTCGACCCATGCATTTGTCTAAGTTTTTCTTGTCAAATTTCAGATGATTTTTCGTGTTTAAACAAAACCTAGAAATGAGCTATCTAAATAGTTGTTATACAGATAAATCTCTGATAATTCTTATTCAAGCCCCTTAGTGTTCTATTATTATCACATTATTTGCTCTTTTCTATATTAGGAACTCTAAAAGAAAGTTCTTCAGGGACATCAAATCCCCTCTAAACTAAGAGTAAACTCCGAATAAACCTAACAATTTCCATGGAAATGAACTTACACATTACTTTTAAAACCAGAGAGGCATTCCTAATCAAAACATTTACTCAGCTATATTGTAATTAATGATGGAAAGATCAGCATGCAGAATAGAATATCTTATCACACTAGGAGCATAGCCAGCTTTTCGAATTGTCGTGGGCCTATACCCTAAGAAAGTTCAATTTTTGTTTCAAAATTTGCACGAGTGATGTGATAAAAGTTAAGAGGTACAGGACTCTAGGCTGGCTACACCCCTGATATTGTTGTGTTCCTTCTTGAGCCATCCGACTTAACTGCGGTGTAGCAATCATGGTCTTTAGAAATACGCTAAAACTAACAGGCTAAAAGTGTCAGGTAGATGTACATGTTACAAAAAGAAACAAACAAGCAAACCAAAAACGGTCAAAACAAAACAAAACAAAAGGAAGATGGACTGATAGATAGAGTGCAAGGTATACAATGATTAGCTCGGACAACAAAGTTGCTAAGTATTGTTAACATTAGATCTAAGAAAAAGAAATTACACGCCCACTCAGATATAGCTCAATATGTTCTACTTCAACTATACCTTGTTACCATACAATGATAAGTTCAGACAACAAAGCTACTGAGTATTGTTAACATTAAATCTAAGAAAAAGAAATTACACGCCTTCACTCAGATATAGCTGCGCAATATGTTCCACTCCAACTATATCTTGTTACCATACAATGATAAGTTCAGAAAGCAAAGTTACTGAGTATTGATAACATTAAATCTAAGAAAAAGAAATTTAAGACTAAGATGTTACCATAGACAGTATGTATTGATTACTAGAATCATTTTTCTCCTTTTCCTTGAAATTGTTTAGTTTTTCTCTAGCCCTCGCGGTCTCCATACTAATGGCAATGTTTTTGGCTCTTGGAAACTGTCAGAGGCAAAGGAAAAAAGCACGCTTATCAATGAACGCAAAATTAACTTATCGATTAGTTGTTTGTTTGATCTACGGACCCGAAATTCAGTCAGTCAAGCGTTGAATGTTTGCATGTCTGTATTGAAGTGTTTTGCAGCCATAATCTAATTCAGTTAGTTATAACCATGCCCACTGGCCAGGTGGAGAGTCCAGCAGACAGTCGGGCAGACAATCAGCCCATCTGTCAGTCAGCCAGTGGTCATAGCTCAGGTAGTCAATTCAATTTGACGGCTTACCGGCCAGTTGCACAGATAGTCAGGTGACCAGACTGTCAATCAGGAAGCTGGTCAGTGCATTAAGGACAGAAGGCAAATTTGAATATACAAGCATAACCAAAGAGAGCACTCATCAGTGCAGCGTATTAGCCACCCAGAAGTTTTTTTTTTTGAAGTTATACTTTTTCAAATCATAATCAAGCAGAGAAAAAATTGATTAGTTTGAAAATGTTTTGGTAGCCTTACTGCCAACAATGAATGGGCTGCCTGAAAAAATTTGCAAGTGACTTTGAAAGAGACGAGCAGTATATTATAGCTACAACAAATCAGACTTCATCTCCTTCATCTCCAATAACTTCAACCATTACAGTTGCAGTGAAATCTCTAATTTGAAACTGGTTTGAGTTAGCCAAGGAGTAAAAAAATTTAGGATAGAGTTACGCTTTGTGAATGGCATCAAAAAAGTCACTTTTGATTCAGAATATAGATCGGGTTCAACAAACTGATAGTTTAAGTAATCATGAGTCAACTATACATGCATACACACCGTAACGCATCAAAGATTTTCACTCTAAATCTCAAATATTACACTTATTCTGATTGGATACATGTAACAAAAAAAAACTACCTTCTTTAGAGGGATTTGTTTTCCGTACCCCTTTAGTCAGCGGTATTCAGTATTAAAGCAGACGTAATAAGCATTTACCTTGAAAGTACTAAAGCGGCCTGGTATCAAACACGTCTTCTTCCCCTGGACGGAACACGAAAAGAGATAGAAATGCAACGCGCTCATTTTTTCTCAAGCGATGCAGTACTAAATTGCACAAGTACAGAAAACAGAGCTGCCACTTATTACAGCTCATTTAATTTTGCTTGCTTGTGTTGAAGTGTTTTGAAACCTGAGGTACACAACATCAAAGTCACTGTTTCAAATTTCCATTCAATGAGTTGTGGTAAGTGGCGGTTCTGTTTTCTGTATCTGGGCAAATTATTACTGTATCGCTTAAAAAACAAACAAACAAACATGTAAAACGGCTCAATAAATTCATAAATGTAGGATTTTAGCATTGTATAAAAAGTTATGGCTCTTCGTTACGAGGAGGTATAATAATACTCAAGTGGTGTGTTTTTTTCCTCAATGTAATCAACTCCCGATGTGAATCGCGACCTTTCGACAGAGCACTTCAAGTGATCTTCAGCCAATTGAGTGGACTGATTATGCGTCACCTTATAAAGCATGTGTGGACCAATCTGAGTTTATCTCTTCTGATTTATAAAAAATGTTACCTTCCTCTACGACATCCATGTCAGGCTCATGCATCTCCTCTTCTTCTTCAGCTTTTCTAGCTTCTTTAAAAAAATATTTATTTGATACAATGTAAGTTAGTATACAGTCATTAAATTTTGTTTTTGTACTTAGGAATTAAAATCATAAATGTTTCACCAATTTCAACACTAGAATTTTTCCAGTGACTACCAAGGGAAAACAGATGTTTTAATTACTCATAAAATGCCTTACTCTCTTGAGTGACCAATCAAAAACCATTATCTCCTTTACCTTTGTTACTGGGTACTGAAATCTCTTCAATTTCCACCTGCTCCTCAGATTCAACAGCTGTGTGAAATCAGATTCATTGTTAAAATTCATAAGGTTAGACAACGCAGCCCATTGCCCGCTATCAAGTCAGAAAATTAGCCTTGTTGCTACTTACACTGTACGCTGGAATAAATGAGACCCATGTGGGACAAATGTTCAGTTCCTAAAAAGCAATTCATTGTTTTTACCTTCCTCAGTTGTCTTTTTAGGTTCATGCTTACTTCCTCCTTCTTCACCTGCACACAAATATTAAAGATATCTTGACATTATAGAAAGTAAAGTATTGTGCTCACTGAAATCCGCAACAATCGCCTTATTCTTCAACTATTATCAGAAGCTATAAGTAACACTGAAGATGAGTGTCCATCATTAAAAAGGTTCTTGTAAGTAGCTTAACCTTCGATCACTTCTGATAATTTTTTTAAAACCTTTCATAGGGTTAATTGCAATTGGAACTAGTGGTTCCTTAAAACTGGGCGATTCTCAACATCAAAAACTTCTGTTAGTGTGTAGAGACACTCCTACTTACAGAAAATGTCAACTATTACCTTCTCTTTGTGTTCTTCGTCGATACTGGCTCTCGCGATGATGAACAGTGATTGCATTAAAGAATACCATCCATTTAAATAAACCGCGAGTTATTCCGGAAAGGCTCAAACGTTAATAACGCAAATATGTCTTAAGTCTTTGACAACAGCAAACTTTCCGACAGGACTTTTTTGATTGCATAGACCCGTTAGGTTTAGTAACTGAGGAAGGGTTTTGTGCCTTACGGGAAATAGTGGCCAAAAAGCTGCTCTCGTTAATTTTTTCATGAGACAGACTTAGAATCTGTGATTTGATTGGTGATTACGTGTTAATATGATAACCCTAATCTTATTGGTTTGACATACAAAACCATGCAATCAAGTATACCAAGTGCGCCAGCTTGTTAGCACCAGCCACCTTTCGCTGTTTTGTAGAGTTATGACATTTCTTAAAAAAAAATGAAAATTGAAAAGGTGTTTACCTTCCACAGTCTTTGCAGAGGCTGGTCTGATGTCGAAATCATCCTCATAATCTGTTTTAAGGAACAAGTAGAGTAAAACATGACATAATGCTCATGGTTCATGTTTTATTCTGAAATAAATTTCTTTACAAATGTATTTTACGTACGTTAGATTTTCATATATTTATTCAAGTATTCATTGATTGATCAAATATCACTGAGTTACAAAGCTCAAATTTAAATCTGCAAGTTAATTAGTGCGCATGAAAATGGTAGCCGGAATAATACCTCTGCCAAAGACAGTCGGTTAAGACGCATTACCTTTCTTCATTTTGGCGATTCTTATGATCGGTTGTAAGGTGCAATATGCAGTTGAAGTCACCTTGTATAACTGTGATTTTTGCAGTACTTCTTTTGTAAATAGAGCGGTTGTCTATGCCTTCTTTTGATATTTCTTTCATAAATAATTTTTACCTGAGGAAGATGGATTCGCATCCCCCTCACAGGCTTGTTCAATCTCTGCCAACAGAGCAAAGAGTTATCTTTAAGTTATTTTTCATATAATATAACTGAAAACTGGAAACAACGAATAATCATTGTCAATATATACGTATCATTCATTTACTACAACCACATCATATGGGGGACGATGGTATCTTCCTTCCATACTGGAATACTACATACTTTGGCACATTACAGTTTACTAATGTAAAGGAATGGTGATATCATGAGTGGAGGTGTTAAAAGTGCATAAGGCAATTTATCACCAGAATATCTGGAGGTAACTTATCAATCAAAAGTAATCCAACCTAATTTCATTACATTTGTGTCATACGAGAAACCCTTCCTTGATCTCTCCTTTCTCGAAGTGCACCTACAGCAACTATCAGAGCAGAAAAAGAATACTGTGGTTTCTGGGCATCTTATTTGAAAGAGCTCATATTTGATAGATTAATTAATTAGACTATACACACCTGGCAAGAGAGTTGAATTACAAAGTCAATTACAACATTGTCTTTGGCATAAAAAATTCTACACTTATTTACTGACCTGGTTGGGGAGCAGGCAATTCAGGGGCTTCCACTTCTGGGATTTCGATCTGTGCTATTAATTGCATTTCAATCTGTTCTCCTAGGGGGGAGAAAAATGAAAAAAAGGAATTAAGTACAGAAAAGAGAAAGGAAAGAAAAGTATCGCACATAGAACCCTACAGAGGTGTAGAGAAGATATGTGATTAGATTGAGAAGCACTATATTTTTTACCCTCCTCGACGTTAGCATGTTCATCCCCATTTCCAATCTGTCCCTGCTGATCATTTTCTGCTTCTTTGATATAAAAAGGAACACCAATAAAAAATTAATGGTCATTGTCAGGTTTATCCAAAGGGAAAAAAAAACGCTCAGACAAACAATTCAGAATGGATCGTCATCTAATAATTTCAGACAGAAGTATAGCGATTCATATTTTGAGAATTGTTTGTAGAATGAGGTTTTGCTAGCACCTTATTTTAAAAATTTGTCGCAAACGGCACCTATTCGTCTCAATGTTCCTGATGGTTAGTATCTCTAAAGCTGTGTATTAAAGAAAATCGAACTGAAATCATGATTTCTAAACGTGTCGTTGCCTTCATTAAACTTGATGATTTATTACATTGATCCCCTCTCTACTTAGAATCATTCTGGTTTTCTCCTCTACGTCTGCTACAACTTTACATATTGCCAGTTGCACCTTTGTGGTTTCAATAATTTGCTCAGTTTCTTATTCGAAAAAATTAAAAAATACATGAGTTTTCTACGATTTCATACCAGTTCCATCCTCTCCCCCTTGAAAGCCTTATGAGTAAAAATGACATATGTTACTTAAAGAAAACTGGGTTGCTAATACTCAATTTGGTGAAACTTAAAGTTTGTTCATTTCAAGGTTTGGAATACAATTATTGTTATCATGGTATTTTTCAATGGAGCTTAAAACTGTACCTTCTTGATTTTGTCCTCTGCTGAAAATAGATCGAACATTGGACCACAGCTTCCTCAGTTTTGCTTTCAACACAGGCTGAACCTAGACATTCAAAATATATTGAATAGTTTACGTAAAGACTTTCAAGTAACGTATTTAGAAGTCACGTTGGTCTCTATGGTTAAAGTTAACGGTGGAGAAGCTAAAAAAATCTGTCCGATCATTTACTTTTTCATGCTTGTTTTGTATGTCAATCGTTACAATTACAAAATTAAGTTGCCAGCCTGCTCTGACACGAAACCAAATTTGAACATAACGGTAGGTGCTATTCCAAAGTAACCAAAAAAGAAACGTTACCTGTGGAGTAGAAAGCGTATACAGCAATGGGTTGATAGCTGAATTGATCGGCAGAGCGAACACTGCAATCCACACTGCCAGATCACCAGGAGGATCAAATGTTTTCTCGACGTGGGACCGGATGCCGATAGCAATGATTGGCATCCAACACAAGAAATCGGTCAGAATAATGAAGAAGACTCTTTTGGCAAGTGCTCTTTCTCTTTTAGCTTGTGCACTTTGTGCTCTTGCTCGTATTTCACGAACAGTTCCATGTGCACCAAGCCGTCTGCTTGACGACCATGATTTCCACAAGATGGCAACGTAAGCAACCGTGATGAAGATGAATAGGGAAAAATTCAAAACGATAAAAATGGAAGTGGAGTATTCCCAGCCTTCTTGTAATTCAGGGGAAAGCTGCAGGGGCAGGCACACTACATTATTGCCATAGTACCACTCGCTGAAATAGTGCATTCCAGACAAGGGAAGGAATGCCATAACGCCTCCCACCAGCCAGATAACTACGCACATTAGACAGGTCTGCCTTGGGGTAATTTTTGCAAAGGTGTAAGGAAACACGATGTTCTTGAGTCTGTCCAATGCGATCAGAGAAATCATCATCACTGACACTTCACTTGAAAAGACAGACATGGCACCATTGAAATGGCAAAACCAACCGGTGCGCCACTCATAGTCATGCAGGTAGTATTCCCCTGACCATTGCAGGTCTTTTATGCCAATAATGATAAGGTATATCCCCATGATGCCGTCAGATACACCCAGATTCACCAACATGATAGACTGGACCACATTGTTATCAGGGTAGAAATACTGCCACCCAACTACGAATAAAGACCCTAGCAACGAGAGAAGACCGACAATCCAAAGAGTTCTCCTTGGAGCATGGTGGCGGAACATGGAGTGGCAGCTTGCGAAATTGTCATTGAAGGAGTATTCGCAATCAGCATCCTGCCTGAAAAGATCGAGATGGCAGCACATCAGGTTGGTGTCCAAAGTTCTGGAATTCGAAAAAAGAAGAAAAAAAAAGAAGAAATAACACTATTATTGCATCGTTGAAATCCCTTAATAATCATTAATTGATTAATAACATAGACTATTATTAAAATAATTGTTTGAAGGGATGAGTGAAGGAAAGGATCGTCATGGAATCTTACACTCTGATGATGTGCGTCAAATGCTTGAAAAAGCCTTTGGGGAGCTCGGCCATCAGGTTGTAATGCATGAACCTGTGATTTAAAATAATCATAATGTGAATTTTAAGTTGGTTTATATCATAAATAACCTAAAAAAGTGAATTTCAATAATAAGATTCATTAAGTTAATGTTAATGTTCAAATTGACTGTCCAAAAAGACAAAATCAGGAACCTAGCTGAGGATCTTCAGTACGGACCCTAGCTTGATGTTTTCTCAAAGATTCTTTCAAAAGTAGTCATTTAGCCTAAGATAAGTCTCGTCTTGCTTTCTTGGAAATTTTTGATGGCTACTGATTTTATGGACGTGGCAGCCCATTCGGTTGAGGTCGTTCGCTGTACAAAAGCCTCTTTCCGGACTCTTCCAGGGAAAAATTCCTTTAGTATATTTATGTTATTTTCCAAAATTACTTTGCACGAGTCTTTTCTTTGACAAAACGAAATCAAAAGAATGTTATCTGATTTCAATATATGCAACTAAGTTTAGTTGCCTAGATAAACATCTGTCATTTGCAGTAAACTTACAACATTCGCAATTCGTGGGCATAGTTGAAAGTCGTGCTGGTAACGTTTTGTATCCTATTGCCGAAGATATTCCTGAAACGAAGAACGTAACTATTTACAACTAACACCAAAACGGGGACTTGCAGCAGTCACATTCCTCATTCTAATAAATTCTCATGGAATTTCAGTTAAGACTACATAGATCTCCACAATGTTTGTTTCCGCTTTTTCATAATATCCACCTAGGTGCACCAAAAGTATGTTATATAAAGGCACATTTTTAGTGCAATATAAATTAAAAAAACATTGCTTTGTTGAGGAAGATAACTGGCACCACCCCTGTTCTACATCGTGGTAAATTTGTAGACAAAAATCTCAGATTTTGAACGCTGATATCATATTCATTCTATCACTTCAAATATTCTGGAATGTTTTGTATGTGATTAACTGTACTTACAGAGATCTGAGCTTTTTAACGCCCTTGAAAATTTTATCAGGCAGAGCCTCGATTTTGTTCTCCGAGAGATATCTTAAACAAAGGAAACGGATAAGGAAATAAATATTAAAGTACAGTAACATAATATGATTGGGTAAGGCAAATTTTATTTGAGCAATGACGGAGTTAACAGTAAAAAAATATTACTGTATACGGTTTGAGATTCAGATCATTATGGAAAATGGTTTAAACTCTAAATGCACTTACAAATCTAATAGCTCCACCAAGCCCTGGAACTGATCTTCATGAAGCTTCTTAATTTTGTTGTACTCCATTTTCCTGAAGAAAGCATTATGTGCAGTTTAGAATGAAATGTGTAGTGATATCTTTAGCTCTACTTTTTTTTTTTGTAAGATTTGCGGTTAAGGCAGGGAATGGCAACGTTTTCCAGTAAAATAGCTCCCAGTCTTTATATCTTAATCTTCAAAGAACACATTAGACTTATCTATAATGATCTCAAGATTAAGCGCGAAAACTCTCAAGTTCATTCTCTGTTACAAATTACAAAATTAGTGCCAGGGTAGTTTGATGTGGCAATACAACAAATTCTTAGATATTGTCAACTCAGATAAAAAGGAAACAAAACAACCTTTGCCTTCCAGAAGTAATTTACAATGTAAGTTGTCATTCACTGAGAAGCTTTTATAGTCACCAAGTGCTGTTATTTTCAAGAAAATCTTTTAAAACAATTCTTAATATTTTGGGACGATATCAATCTTACTTACAGAAATTTTACCGCTCTTATGTTTTTGAAAGCATACGCTGGCAGATTTTCAAGTTCATTGTTTGATAAATCCCTGAAAACAATTATTACACAGTTACTAAAATTTCGCTTATGTTAGAGCTACCAACTGAAATCTGGGAATTGTTAAGGTTGCTATTTAATCAGAAGCTATTAAATTCTTACACCACAAAGTAACTTAACATTACTAACCGAAGCACAAGAAATACATAAGATAGCATCGTCTACTTCAATTAAGATTTGCAGATACGAGCTGGAAAACTTCATGATGTTTCAACTATGATGGCTGTGCTTTTAAAAAAATATTTTAAGAATGATCATTTGTCTGTCCAATTATCTCCTTGGTTAAATAACTAACTCACTTACAAATATGTCAGCTTGGAAAGGCTGTTAAAAAGTCCGTCTGGTAGACTCTTCAACTTGTTATTTGACAGATAGCTGATAGGAATGACGAAACAAGAAAATGCATTTTCATTAAGTCTGCAAACTGAAATTTATAGGTAAAAATACATAAAGATTCTGGTCATCAGAAACAACCAAAGAACAAAGAGAAGTACGTAGTGATACACATGCAATGTTTTGTCTTACAGTACAGAGAATATTCAAGAGTCACTTCATTCATTTAGTTTGGTCAATATTTATGACAAAAAGCAATTGAAGGCCGCTGAAAACTTGAAATCTGCGTGCATACTGAACTCTTTTCCCCAACACTGGCAATGGCTGCCTCTTGGATCAATAATGAAATCATTAAGCTCGTGATCTAAGAAAATATGCCAACATGGTTCAAAACAGAGAAAGATAACCCATAAAAACAACTCTGATATTCATAACATGCGTGAATTTCATTGTTGTATGTATGATCGTTGTCACTGAAATGTTAGTTCAGCAACAAACACAAAATTCTAGATGGTTCAATTTTAAAACGTGTTATAAGTGCAGATGGAAAGATTTTATAATCTGCAACTGGAAAAGATTTTCTTTCTATATGCTCTAATTAGAGAAAGGGACGAAAAGTATGATACTACCAGAATCTGTGTTAAAATACACTAGCAGTGATTTAACAAAAGAAAGGAAAATTTTACTAAGTGTTGGAACACTTTATGTAGTCATTGAGTTAAAACAAGGGAAAGCTTGGAATGAAATAACTTACAGTTCTTTCAAGCTTTTTAGATCTTGGAATAAATTAGGAGGCAATTCCGTGAAGTTGTTGTCTTGCAACCATCTGTGTTGAAATTAAAAAAATATATATGTGACCTGTATGTAAAATATGTTTAGTTTCATTAAAACAGTTATTTACCGAATCGTCTTTTGATCACTGAGTGGAAGGGAAGAAAAGAGAAAGGAAAAAAGTTAATTTGAAAAACAAGTATAGACAAGGCGGTAAGAGAGGGGAATGCTGCTGCGTTACAAAAACAGTTTTCCTTCCACAACAGTATTGATACATTAACTTACAGTTCCTCTAGCATTGTCAAGTTTTTGAAGGCACTTCCATTCAACCCTTTCATGTCGTTGTCATTCAGGCGTCTGCGTTATTTACCATATAAAACTGACAATTAGTTTAAAGATCCACCAGAAGTTTATCTGCTTAGATAGGGGTACTACTGAAACCTTTCAGGGCTGTTGTCGAAGACAGTTACGGTTGTTTTGACTTGTGAGCAAAAGTCGGCATCACTGTCATTGAGCGAAGAGTTGTTTGTGCTAACTTCACCGTTTACTCATTTTACAACATAAGATTATAATTAAATTTGACATAGATATGGAAATTTGTTAATGATGGAAATTGGAATGATCTTTTTATTTAATGAAGGCACTTCTTGATGCCTTTTATACAGAGGACAGAATCTCATAAACGGTCAGTCCTGGACAAAGATCCAGAATGCAACAGTCGATATGTGATCTTCATGATATTTCATATTAATTCTTGATTTACAAAGCGAAACGAATAATCTGATAAATTTAATAAAACAACGACAACAACAAAAAGCAGTTGGAGGCCTGTAGAACTGTTGTGCAGCTGGTCTGAGATTAGAGTTCTTATTCTGCAGGTGCGAAAGTTGACTAGTAGTGTTAATTAAAGATGAATTTATTTTGTACTTAAATAGCTACATATTATGAATGAAATATTTGCAAATTTTGTCAATCTTATTAACGCTTACATTGCATCACTAAGAATCTAGGAGCGCGGATCAGACAGAAAAAAATGAGGTTACTTACAGAAACCTTAGCTGTGTGTTCTTGTCAAAGATTCCTGGAGGTAGGTGGTGCAATTGTATTTCAGACAAGTACCTATGAATTCGACGAAAATTTAGCACACTAAATAAAGGCCAGAGCTGGGATGCATATAAAGTAATAAACCAGATGACTAGTGGAATAAACTCAGTTTTGAAATGCAGCTTGAGGATTGTGTAGACAACTCAAAATGATTATTATTGAGATTTTACCGTGAAATCAAAATGGTGCAGCCATGTACATGTGTTTTAATATTCTCACTTGTCAAGACGAGCAAGGTTTTGTCTGTCGTGCTTATCCTAACTCAGTTATGTACCCTTTGACGGAGAAACAAGCTACTCATAAGGCCTCGAAACAATCCTCCAGCTACATCGGTCTTAGGCCACCTTTCGGGCCTTTTCCCATGATAGATGAACTGAAACAGGCTTTCTTTTTTTTTGGCGGTTCATCTTACGATAATTTGTGGTTCCCCGTTTCCTTTCCGAATCTGTTGCTCCGAAAACATATAGAAAGGTTATCTTTCTGATTCTCGAATACACCATCGTATTTTCCTCCTTACATGATTCCGAAAGTTCTTGCGATATCTTGTCTTGTATTTTGATCCTATTTTCTTAAGAAATAAGTTTCATTTTGACCTGCAGATGAAAATCAAGTACAAAACTGATCTTCGCAGGCGCGGTTGTGCAATTGCACCTTACCTGCAAGGATCATTGCTTTGCTTGATTTTCATCCGCAAAATTTATTTCATCAAAAAATATGATAATATTCCTCTACGGGATAGAAGAACCCTCCAAAATGTGCCCTGATCTCAACGAGTGGCGTCTTAGCTCAGTTGGTTGAGGCACCCCACTAGGTTTGGGGAGGCACGGGTTTGAATCTTGTTGAAGCCTGAATTTTTGCTCGGGCTTCTCAGTTTTTGCAATTGTATGAAATACAGGTCAACTTCGAGGATCATTGTCCAATTTATTTTATTTTATACTCTTTCCTTAAAGCCTTTCTAATGTCGTCATATGATCTGTTAGTCTCAGCGTATAATCATAATATCAGAGTGAAATTTTTCTTGTTTTTCAAACTAAAAGTGGTACCCAAACATTTATAAACACGTAATAGTGGGTTAATGTGTTTTAAAATACAAAGACAAATATTGTTTGATGTCCCTTAATAGAGGAAAAATTAACTTACAGCCAAATCAATTTAGTATTTGTAGCGAAAATGTCAGATGGCAAACTCTTCAACGGGTTATCAGACAAGATTCTGAAAGATAAGAAACAAAAAAAATTAGAAATGCAATTTGAAATTGTTAATAGTGGCCTTCTTTAAGCTGTCAGTTTGGCATTGTCAAGTAAAACATCGATATGCATAAGAAATTTGTCATACTGATATAAAGAATAAAGAAAATAAATGGTTATCCGATAAAACGCTCTTAACATAAATCGCCTCCTTTACATGTCAGAATGTGTCACTTAATTTACGTGAAAGACCTTTACGTTTACTCACGGTCAATCCTCGTGGAATTACAAGATTATGATTATAAATATAGACACTGACACGGAGTCTACCAAGTAAAAACGTCGTACTTCTACCTTCTGTACTTCTAAAAGATTAAAATATAGCAAGTCATAATACAGATTTGCATGGATGCCGTGCTACAGATATAATGAAAGGAGAACTGACTAAAAAATTGGGACGGTTTATTAAAGTTTAAATTCTGTCAGCGATGACGCTTGACGCAAGTGGCGACCTAAGCTATTTCACAACACTGCATTGCCGTAACTAGAGCTTCACTTCAAAAATTCTGAGAGGAGAAGTGCAATTATGATCCCAGTATTTCTCAGATTATAAGAAGTAAGTCGTTCCTTTCAATGAAATTGGACTTTAAATATTCTAAAGGCTTGCTTTTTCCTTTTTTCAGTTGTTTTTAAGTGGCTTTGTAATATGTCAATTTGCTTTCCATCTCCGCCAGTTTAAGTTCGAGAACCCCTCGATTATGTCCATCTAAATGAATTGGTTGGTTCATGATCAGTTGATTCTCGATGAGATTGATTTCCGACCGGACATTTTGGACCTCAGAAATAATTCCACTTTTCGACGAAGCTTTCGGTTGCCCGGTGCCACGCACAAATTTCTCGTGGTCCTTGTTCACACTTTTAGATCCCATCTGAGCGTTTTCAACTGTCGTCGTATTTCTTGAAGTCCAGTAGACTTATTGCGTACAGAATCTATGGGCGATTTCTTGAAAATTGTCAGGTGTTACAGAGAGAGACTGGGCCTTACTTGGTATTGCCACATGTGGGTTTGTCTAGCTGTTTAGTCTAACTTTTGCAACAAGGAAGCCTTCCGAGATTGTGTTTTTCAAGCTCTGAAGCGCTGAGGGACAAGTCGTCTCTCTCTCTGTCTGGATGTCCTTGAATTAGTTGTCTGGAAGGTAGTGATAGGTATGTGGGCGTTCGACCTCTACTTCTGGGGGGGAACGCTCACAGTCCTTTATGTAACCTCTTGACAAAGTGTTGGCTGTCAGCATACCTTTCCTAGGCTTGTAGCGTATCTTGTAGTCATACTGCTGAAGTCGCGACAAAAGCAGTCCGCAGGATGACTTTCTTACCGAACACATATAGGTGGTTACGCTGTATACCAAGGACCGGGGCAAAAAAATTCCTTCTCGATCTTTGAGCACTTCCTCACTGCCAACGGGAGTGCCCCACTTCTAGATGTCACTGGTTGACCATGCTCCATCAGTAAAAAGCTAAGCTTATCCTTGGACGCATCTCCTTAGTCCTCTTTTGGGTCACTCTCGCTGAAGTACTTGACTATTGGTGCTTTGAATCTCTTGAGTTCAGATCCACTCGCATTCTTGTGTGTCAGGCGGCGTAATGGTCTCACATTTCTGAAAGGTTTTGAAGGAATTTAGGAAGGTGCCTCACTAGCCCTATAAATCTCTGCACTGCTGATACATGTGCTGTTCGCTCCATCTTGACTGTTGCATCCGATTTCCTATGCTCTGCCTTCGAATTCAATCCATTCTTTGTCATCACATGTCCAATGAATGGCACTTTGCTTCATTTGAATTCGAACTTCTCCTTTTCCAGCTTGATGAATTTTGCTCAGCAATGGTCTTACCCTATTATGACTGAAATTTGTTTAGCGCTCGTAAATTGTGTTCGTCTTGCCTACGCGGTAATTAGTCCACGACTCTAAGACTTTATCGATCCTACCTTTCTCTTCCTTGGAGGCAAATGGTGAACCAGAGTTAATATTGACGGCTTCTGACCTGATACATGTGATGAAAGACGCTACTCGGTACTGCGAGTGTAAATTGAGGGTAAATTCCATGTTTGAAGCCAATTTTTCCAATTCTTTTCCAGATCCACAAAAAGATCTAGCCTCAGAAGAACTGGTAAACAGAAGTGAAGATTTGCTGCGGTGTTTGAGGCTTAGAACTAATGCGCTGCAGCTGCTATCTGCTTGGGACGTCATATTTGTCTAGGTTCTGTCGCCGTGTCTCGGTTCAAAGTCAGCTTAAATTCGACTAAAACACAAGTTAAAAGTTGCTATATGTCTTGCTGAGAATTTGCCACGCCACCATTAGCGTTAGCAGCCCGACATATCAGAAAAGACAGGGTAAACAGAACTTTAAAAAGAGTTGATGGCCTACCATCTCAAAACACATGGTTCTACCAAGTCACGATAGGACTCTTAGAGAGCCTTACTGAGAGACTCGAATAAATGTTATGAGTTTTCTTGTTGTTCTCCAGGCCTTGTAAATTCATAGAAAATAGACACCTTTCATGCGCTTTACTTTGTACGCGAACTAATACAGGTTTAACTGGTAAGTAGTTTTGACCTCTAGAGGCTTCAGTTAAAAACCGGTCACATTGAGAACATTTTTTACGCTATTATCAATTAGTAACCTGCGTACTTAAAATGTGACCAGACTTTGCTTTGATTTGTCACATAGCAGCCTTGAGACTTTGTCATGTTGCTGCATTGATGTTTTTTTGTTTATCTTCCGGCCTAAGTAACGAACTTTTCCTTGTCAGCACATTCAAAATCAAGCTCGATTGAACGAGACAACGAGGCGCCCTTCCCCTTAAGTAGCAAAAGTTGGCCTCTGGTGGCCATTCACTACCCCCTTTTCCCAACTCGACGGTCTAAAGGGAATCAGGCTGAGAAGTGCTTGAATGAATTACTATATATTAATCATTAATGATAAATCAGATTTTATTAGGGTAAATAATCACTAAGTAATTAAAAACTATATTACTCCTTCATATAAGATAGATTACAAGCTTAGCATTTTTTCTTCGGAGCTGAAGAGTCATCAAGACTGATGTATCATACATTAATATAAATCTGTGACTTTGGGGACAAAGTCTATATATTTTAATGCCTTAAACGTCACTAACTGTCCCTGAAATTATCTCTTCATGTACTCTTCTTCCTTTTAAAAAATTAGTAGGATTAAATCTGGGAAGAATGGTCTTCACTTTTGACCAACAGATATTTTAGTTCGTTATTTGGGACGTATGAAACAGCTCTATAAAACGTTCGTAGACAAAATATGAGCGTCCACTTATTGAATTTAAACAACACATGTCCAACTTGGAAACTCATTGCGATGGCTTAAACCTAAATAACTTCGAACATCGAATTCCTATAGAAACTACATGCCAAATATGAACGAATGACTAAATGATACTAAACGAACTAGATACTTATTTATATTTTGACGTCTCTTCTTGTGCAAGTTAAACACCATAAGTGTCACTAGCAAGTACTTATGACTCTCATATCACAAAGATAAAGAAATAGGTAAATTAAGGAGTGCTCCACTGAACATTGACCTGACCCTGTTTCGATTTGTTGCATGGAGTTTAGAGATCGACGCTGTGTAATGATGCTTCATTGAATAGATTTCTTTCTCTGGTCTACTTGGTTTTCTTTAAAATGAGCTATGCCACTTTTTTGACCGAGGAAGCTTACCATTAGAAAACTTGTAAAAGGCGAAACTTAGAAGTGTAGTATTTGACAAGGAGATTGTGTAAAAAAAAAATAAAATAAAATAAAAATTAAAAAAAAATCCAGAGATAGAAAGGAATTTTCGTTCAGAGCACTAACTTCAGAACATACTAACTTTGAAATAGACGTCATAAGTTTTCTTTGATAATTTGCAGAACGAGCAAAATTAAAAGATCTAAAAAATTTAAAGATTCGTAAAGTAGTGTTCAGCAGAAGTGAGGACAGGGACGTAACACGGGGGTAGGAGGGTGGTGTCTGAGGATGCACTTGACCCACACCCATACCCCATTTTACTTGCAGAGGAAATAAATAACATGTTTACGAAAATTAAACATTCCTACTTTGTAGCTGATATTTATTTGGAGCCAAGACAACGCTGCTCGTATCTGCTGGTTTTTTTTTCACCAATGCGCAATGGATTTGACGCGTTCCTTAGACAAAAATAAAACAGAGTCCAAACTTACAAATATTCAAGCTCGGTGTTGCTACTGAAAATGCCTGATGGTAATTTCTTCAACTGGTTGCTGTCCAACAACCTACCAAAAGTAATAGAAAGAGGGTGTCGGGTGTTGAAAATGTCGTATTTTTCTTAATTTTCTTATCTTCTAACAAAATCACATGTCCAAGAACCGATGTCTTCTTTTCAGAAATAGATAAGGAGACCTAGGGTAGCGTTACGAATTAAAATCTGGCTCAAAACCAATTGAGACTTCTTGTTTTTTTTTTTAAGCACTAAAAACAACTGAATGCCTTACATATGCCTTTTCTCCCTCCTTTCATTGCCCAGCGATGCAATACGTAAGGCTTGTATTTCAGAATAGTCTTCATCATGAACCAGGCGACATCGATTGCAGGGAGGGGAGGGTAATATACCGCGACACAAATTATCTGGATAGTTTTGTTTTAGTTTACATACACAGTGTCTTCAGCACAAGTGATAACGCCATGTTCAAACTTATTTCAAATTGTTAAAAATTTCAAATTGTTTTCCACTGAGACTCTTACAAACTTTTCTTAGATAATTACAGTTTACAATCTTTATCCACGTGATGCCACGTGAGGAAGCCCGTGAAGAGAGTGGTGTTCAAGGTTAGAAACCAACATTTTAAGCATATTAATGGAAGCGGAAAAATTATGCCTCAGAGAAAGATTGAATAATGTATGTTACGAGTGACGAAGGACTGTTGTCGGTCGCGGCGGACTGTTGTAGAAAAGAGAGATGGAGAAATCTTTGTCAGTCACCCAAAGCCAAATGTTTGTCATCTCACCTATTTATCGACCGAACGCCGACAGATCGCAGCACGGTTATTTGTATCGAAATATCTGTTTCAGTAAAAATTGTTTTGTTTTAGGTGTTGATAAAACTTTCTTAGGTACTGTCCGGTCATATCTGTTTTGATATAATCCTACGTGTCGCAAAAACATTTGAACAGCATCACATAAGAGGCTTCATGAGGTTTGAAGATACGCTCGTTTTGTACCCCAAAATTAAGTCATTTCACCATATTAGGGCACTGGGAAGCAAAAGTGTAAATAAGCACTAGAAATATTGCATTCTCCAGTGGCTCTAATAGATCCTGGATGTCGGGCAGTGTTCTTAGAAAGTAAGTCCAGCGATGTTTAAGCCGAAGGTGAAAGGCGTGGCATGCCTTTGGTTATATCTGAGGAAACTCTACGAATTGAACTATTTCACTGACCAAATCAGACACCTTCTCATTGACGAATTCCTCTCGTGAGCCGATCGCCGCTCTTTAATGGTTCTTCCCTTCCATTGTCATATTAATGTCTGTGTCCTTAAATATTTCTTTCACACTTTCTTTCTTGTCCCGCTTTGCGATAATCCAGCACTTCTTGGCGTTTAAGAAGTAGCCAAAATCTGGACCCAGGGTACTCAACATGTTCCACCATCTCTTGATTTCTGTAGTGGAGCCTGCCCCACCCGCATCATTGGCGAACCAGCACTGCTTTGCTGTGGACCTCACCTGTAGACTCGTGGATAGAGGCTGGATGCTAAGAGCACAAAGGGCCGTAGCGATCGGATCTCCCTTTGTGGTCCCTTCTTCTCAGTGGCGGGATCTCTTAACCGCGCGATAAGTTAGTAATTGTCACTACGTATTAGTCTCGAACGTACTTATAATGTTTACTTATGTTTTTATTGATTTTGTAATGGGTCCTTTGAGCATCACCATGCGTATATAAAAGCTGAGTTAGCATCCTTTTAGAGAAGTTTTCTTTTTGATTTCGAGTGGCCTTTTTTGAGTGACGTTTTTTGACTCTTAACCCTTGGCCCACCTTCGTTATTTTGTTGAGGTTACGTTTGATAGTTATGGGCAAAAAATACAAGAGAACATATATTTTTTCATGTTCTACCTGAGGTCCTGGAACATACCCGCTAACAAACTTTTTGTGCTAATGTTACTTTTTAAAGAGTGGGACAATTTAAAATAATAACACAAAATGTCTCAACAGTTTTATTTGAAATAATGCCCGTAAGACACAGCGACAAAATGACTGCGCATGCTTCATTACTCGTGCCTTTTGAGCGTTTAGGGCTACCATTCTTATTCCTTTGCAAACAAAGCTGACGCTGGTTTTCCACCAAAAAAACAAACTTTTTCGCCAGGGATTTGGCCACCGAGGAGGCGATGACGTAAAGAAGCGCTAAAGCCGGTGACACACCTGGCGATTTTATACGCCGATCACGGTGATCGGCGAAAATCGCCAATTGTGCTCGGTGCGGCGATTGCGATATTCGCCAATCCCCGCGATCGGGGTATAAAATCGCCGATATCTGGCATGTCAGATATCGGCGATTTAATTCGCCGGCATTCGCTAAGTCTGCCCGTTCCCGCGATTTTCTCGCCTTTTTACTCTGGGAGTCGGCAGTAAAATTAACCAATCAAGTTGGGCGATATTATCACATGATTTTTCAAAATGGCGGAAGGCATCGAAAATTGTTTCTGAACCGAAGAAAAAGAGGTAAATTTGACCACACTGTGGTCAGAAAAGCCATGCTTATTTGGTGTAACGTCGAGCGACTACGGTAATCGTCTCAAGAAAGACTCTGCGTTTCAATAAATCCATGTCTTTGACCATACTTTTCCATTGTCCCACTTTTAAGAACGCTTCCTGGAGCGCTTTGGGTGCAAAATTATGGCAGCAGCCAACAATTTTTTCGCTTCGCTGTCGCCATTCTGTTTGTTTATATTGGTTCGCGCAATTTTTAAACGTCACCCTATGGAACCTGGGATGAAGTGCCACATTGTCGCGATCGGCAAAAAAAATCGCCAAGTGTGTCCGCAGCTATCTGTGGCGATCAAATTGGCTGCAATTGGCGCATAAAATCCCAAGGTGTGTCGCCGGCTTAAGGCAAAAGGTGCTACGAACTTTGTAGCCATATTAAGGATGCTCTACTTCGGTTGATAAATCCACACCTGCTTCTGCAACATATTTTTATTTTGTGACGTAGAAGGTTTTAAGGTTTTAGAAGGTTTTAGTGACGTAGACGGAAACTTTCCTGAAAACGGTAGTCTTGTCTGTTTTGGTTTGGGTTTATCCTCGTGAAATGAAAACAGACAATGGGAATTTAAAAAATGCCGCCATTTTGCCTCGATAGTTATACTATGTAAATATTGTCGTTCCTATTCCTTTACGCGCGTAAAATTTCTCGTGTGTTACAAGCATGTACACTCATTTATCCGCTTTGTCTACACCGTGTGTTCATTTGAGCATGCGCAAATGAAAACGCTATGCTTTGGTTTAACAGGTAATTTGGTGTTATCAACTGACTTCAAAACATAAGCCGGCCCCCGTAGAGGGTAAAGCCTTTACACTCTTTACGGTGGCCAATTTACGTGTTCAACTCAGTTGTTAACACTAAATTACCCTGTTATACTTTCCCACCAACGCAGCACCACAGTTTCTTTAGAAACTTACCCCCTTTATTCGTGTTTAGGTTTATATTGCCAGCTATTGTCATGATAATTATAAAATATGTATCCTGTTTAAAAAAATTTGTCTGAGACTTTAAAAGAGGTGATTAAAAGGGAACCGGCATGTTATTCTTCCTTTCAGGCTAGCATAATTTGCATGCTTTATAGTCAGTGATATATACTCTGTGGTTTTGAACTCTCGAGTGATGGATAGGTGAGGACTAGGCACATTATTTCCTCTTGGTGACGAATAACGTCAAAGATAGTGGTCCACAGTGAAGAAACCATGTTGAATATAGCTGGTTCTATATTATTTTTCAAAATATTTGAAATGAAAATACCCGAGGTTGTTTAACCACAAAATATCCATTAAAAATTCTCTCGGTATCAATTTTTTTACACCTTTCTAATCCTGTTAATAGCCAAGAAGCCCTCACATATTGAAGAAACTTCTCGGAAAAAAAAGCTCAGTAGAAGGACGTATGGCATCTTATTTTTCATTAAGTGTGGTCGCTTCGTAGGTTTAAAGCTGCCCGTATCCCAAAGTTTACTTGATCAGAAATACAATTGGTAGTGGGCCTGAACCTTCAAAGGAAACAGGAAAAGAAAAAACCCTTGAAAGTCTTCACGTGCAAACACTGTCGTGATGAGTGTATATAGGCATTATTACTACTAAGCCCTAAGCCCTCGGAAAAAAAGACGCTTTAACCCTTTAACTCCCATGAATGACCAAGACAGAATTTCTCTTCAAAATATCCTTACAATATCAAGTACACATGTGATGAGAATAGAGAAAAAGATGATTTAGTAGATTATTAGTCGATCCAATGCCAAATTCTCCGCACTAACATCTTAAGGATTTATGGCAGACAGTAGAGAGAGTTAATGATGAGATCTTGCGAGCGAAAGGGTTAAAAACACTTGAAAGCTAGGGATTGTTGATAAGATCTTTCTTACTTCATAAAAAAAATATCTTATGATTGATTATGGGCCGCTTACAAAATCTATCATTGACGGAAAAATAGTATGGGCTTTCTCATATTTCAAGGAGACGTCAAATGCGAGAACTTAAACATAGTTTGAATTCTGTTGAACGGTAAATAATATCAGGGTCATTATGTCATTAGTTAAAGTATGATGGTCGTTTCAATTTAATTTTCATCTCAGGAAACTAACGAATAAAAACGTTTCGCGCCTCAGCCAGCACAAGAGGCTCGCAGAATCTCTGTGTGCTGATAGTATGTGCTGTGAGAGCTCTTCTAGTGCCCCTTGTTGTAACGTCACGGAATCTTCGTCTCGGTGTCAAAATTTCGTAGGGAAAATAATGAAATATATTAGCAATGTTAGCAGTCCAAAATATCAGAGGGGACATGGTAAACACGGCTTTGATCAGGTTTCCTGGCCTGCCAGTTCAAACCAATAGGGTCTACTAGGCCACGTGACCTCACACCACAGGCTTACTATTACATCCATCTTCTCACAGAAAATGGTAAAAAGACACAATTTTAACACTTTTGAAGAAGCTTAAATTAAAAAAAAAACTTACTGTGAAT